ATTAAGAAAAGGTGCTGAAAATGTAATAAATAATAGAGATCAACATGTGCTTCAAATATTCATCAAAAGAAAATCTAGAGCATAAATACATAAAAAGTTTTAGATTTAATAAATTACCAATAATTTCGAGTCAATTTCCAAGCAAAGGATGTTAAAATTTTACATCAAGAAAGGAGATGGAGCAATTAGCATATGTAAATAAAATTTTAATTATCTTCATTGGCTTCAAAGATGTTTTTATTTTCATTTTGCCACCATTTTTGGCCCTAGTTTTCAATTCCAAGTCAAATTCCTACCAAGCAATTAATTGAAATTTAAGTTACCAATTATAACCAAAGAAGGTTAAAAGTTGTTTTCCAATACTAACAAATGGAAAAAACTAACATAAATAATAATTTATTAATTATTTTCATTTGCATTTTTTTTTTGGCCTTTTCTATTAATTATTATTTCATTAGCCTTTTTCCCTATTTTTATTCCGATAACCGGATTTGAGTGGATTGTAGACAGAATAATAAGCTAATGATTTGTATATCTATATAAGTTCACTAGTATACTTTTTATTTCATTTTATACCTCAAAGAGATTTTATATATATACATATATATTAAAAGATTAATTACTTAATATTACAGAATTTTAAATTTTTTATTTTAATTTTGAATTAAAATTTTTAAATAACTAAGTACCATCTCAACCGATAACATATATAACATAAATAAGCAATTATTACCTTAAGGAAGGACTTGAAGTATTTTGGACACTTATAATAACCAATTTAGATGGGCCAAAGCAAATAAAAAGTAGGAGCAAATCTGCAACCCTGGTTCTTCCAGATGAGGGGGTTGAAGTTGATGGATATTTTCTGCAAGAAAAACATGAGTGATTTAAATATCATCACTAAGAAAAGGTTAAAACTCTTTTTTAGTCTCTATTTTTTTATCAATTCTATTTTAGTTTCTCAATTATTGTATCGAGATTTTTCTTAGCCTCTCGATTTAGGAAATTTCCTCCATGGTTCTTTAAAATTAATTTTCTAATTCTTTTTGGTTAAGTGCTTACTTAGTATTGTTTCTCTATTAAGTTATATTTAAATTTAAATTGATATACTGACATGTGAAGAAATGTAAAAATTATATATAATTTAGATAAAAGTATTGCCATGAAAAATGGAACTTATGGCCCGTTTGGGAATGTTTATTGGAGTTTTAATTTTTTGATATTATTTATGTTTTATAAATTTAAATTTTATTGAAAAAAAAAAAAAAAAACTTAAACAGTATAAAAAAACAAAAGCTCCCAGCACTCCCAAAGTGCCCTTATTTGGATATATTGAAAATTTGCTTTTTATGTAAAAACTAGACACAAATTATGAAAAGACCATATCAGCCTCTTCTTCCTCTCCTATTGCTCCTCTCTCCTGCCCCTTTCATTCCAAACTCTTGGATGAGTCATGAGTGGAGATGAATTCTGGATTCGGTTAACAATGAAAAGAAAAACCAAAACCTTTAACATTTTTGGATTTTAATTTTCATGGCGA